AGGGCCAAGGGAGGAAAGCTGTGCCTTTAACCACCAGCCTGGCAGCAGGTGGGCAGGGAGCCCTGCTTCCTCCTGTTGCCCTCAGAGACAACAGCGTTACCAGCTCGTTCCAGGTCACCGCCTCATGCCCTTCCCATAAATCACCATCTTTGTGCCCTGGAGGTTGGAGTTGGATTGCTCTCTGGGCTGGGATCGCTCTCCACCTCGCCAGGGCCTGGAGGTCACCCCCTCTGCCTCTTCCAGCAAAGCAGCTACTTGGGCGAAGCGAATGCACGCTCCGCCTTACGGAAGAGCATCCTGCTGCTCTGGTTTACCCCATTTCCCCCTGGGCTGCCGGCTCCTTGCTAGCTTAGAGCCTGGCTTTGCCGCCCTGTCCTGCCCTATTGCTGCTGGGCTTTGGCTCTGATGGCCTCGTCCCCTAGGATGCCGGCCATCCTGGACGGGGACGAGGCCATCAGGAAATGGCTGGACTTCGCTGAAGTGCCAACCCAAGAAGCGGTTAAGCTCATCCAGCCCACAGAGAACATCGTTTTCCACCCCGTGTCCACCTTTGTCAACAGCGTCCGGAACAACACCCCCGAGTGTGTCGCGCCCGTTGAGCTGGGAGCCAAGAAGGTGCGTGCTGGTGGGGGCTTGGCAGGGCAGAGCTTGGCCGCGGCGACGTCCCCAGGCGGGGAGGGGGCTGCCGGGCAGCAGCAGGCAGTGTCTGCAGGGCATGCCTGTGCTCGATGCTTGTGCAGAGCCCTGAACAGATTCCCTTCCCTCCGCTTCCAGAAATAAACTGTCACCCCGTGCCAGGATTCCTCTGCCAAATGAGGCAAATTCCATGTAAAATGGGGCTTGGAACAAGCCTGTTCCCAGCAGCCTGGGGAACCTCCTGCAGATGTGCCTGACTGCGGGCAGGGCTGCGGCTCCCCTCCACCGCACCAGCTCCCGCCGCGCTTCTGACTTCTCTCCCGCTCTCTTTTGTCTCTCCAGGAGGTCAAAGCCACCCCAAGCAGCAAAGTCATGCTGGGCTGGTTAAAAAACTCCCAGGAGAGCTCTCCCCAGAAGAAAGAAAATGATTTGCCCAGGTGGACGAGTCAGTTCATCCAGAGCCCGTCCCCCAAGAAAACCAGCGCGGATGTCCTGCAGCAGTGGCTGGGGAGGGAGGGAGAGCCAGCTGCCAAGAAGCGCAAGGCTTAGGCACCAGCTGGGATGGCTGGCCATCCTTTTTCCTCCTGATTTTCGTAAGCAGAACGAGGAATGTTTTTTTGGAAGGCTTTGCAGACTGGTGTTGAGATTCTCTGAGCCCCTCAGGTGTTGATCCGATGCTCTAGGTGGTTCCCTCTGTTCTTTGTGTTTTGTTGAAGGTTGGTGTTTGTCTGTCAATGTTTTGGCTCTGTTTTGTGCCGATGAGCGCGGATGTAACCTGCTGGCCCCTCTCCCTGCTAGTGCTCGTGCCAAGCGCAGATGAAGCCCTGAGGAGCATCTCGGGCTGCTCAGCAGCTTCTGCCGTCTGACACTCTTCACAGTTCACATCTCCTGTTTCTTTGCCTTTTTTTGTTTGTTTTTGTTACTAAACTGATTTCTCTCTTCCATTTCATTCCATATGGATTCTGTACAAATGCCTTTCACCCTCAAAAACCCCCAGCTGCAGGACAGAGGCACATGCAGTAAATACTAGGAGGAAACCCTCGGCTCGGGAAGATGTGCCAGTCATCCCGCTCTACACCAGCGTCGCCACGTGCATTCCTGGCTCATAAACTGGGAGATGTTTAA